TCAGGGACATTGCAGGCACTTCAGTTTGCCAGAAAAGGTGTGTACTGAGTGGTGTCCAAAAGACTGTGATACAGCACTGGCCAGTGGAGTCAGGGAAATCCTATCTTAGGATAAGCTCCGCTGGGATGTGCTTGTTGGGACAGGTTGGAACACTGACTCGACAGTTTGTCCATACAGTGAATGTATATTCCTGTGTTCAGATGTACCCTGAAAGCTGCAAGCTTCTTCAAAGCTTCTCCCTTGCTAAGTGAAGTCTCAAATCATTAAAGCTGAGAGCTGAAACGCTTTCATACTATATATGGCATTTGTGCTAGTGGTGGAAACTGGAGTGTATTTATAATGCTAGTTTGCTGCAGGAATACGGATTGGGAACAAATGTTTGTTTGGATAAAATCCAACTCCAGGGATCAGTTTTACTGCTGCATGTAAAATCCATAGCAAACTTGTAAAAGCAGCAAATGAAAAATCTAGTAGGGCCTTCCTCATGGAAAAAACCATGAATTTGGTGTAACATTATATAGCTAGAGAGTTACCTGTGGTGGTTTACGTAGTAGTCAGTGACCCTGTGTGTAACATGTTGTCTGCCACGTTGGAATGCAGGGATGCTCTTATGTTATTGGCACACACAGGGATTGTTGGTGTTACTTGTTAGTACGTGCTGCTATTTTCATATATATTCTTAATTTGTTTAGGAATACCCACTTGTTCCCTAAGTAATATGTCATGAAAATTGCAACTGTATTCTTAACAGTATTGCGTAGCACTGACATGAGCAAATCAAGCCATAAAATGAGCTGAGCTGTTTTACATACGGCTGATAAATATTTGAGTGGAAACAGTTGGCAAAAAAAGTACAGAAGTGTCTTTGGGTGTGTTGGCTTAACCGTCTCCATTCAGTTCAAGTGTTCTGTTTGGTTTGCCTAACCTGTTAATCCTTTCTGTTGCTCTGCAGCTAGTTACTGTATGTTGAGCCTCTGTGGAATAATTACCGTTTGGACTAAGAATGCTTGTATCCAAAGTCACAAAAGAAGTAGTTTTTATTTTGTTTTCTAAAACTGCTGTCTCTGTTGTTGAAGGATGTTCAGAAGGAGAGAGAACCTCATGTTTATCTCAGTAAAGAAGAAGTTGAAGAGAAGATACAAAGCTATAATTCATCTGTCACTGATAAATTAAAGATGACCTTGGTAAGTTTTGCATAGGATTCCTGTAATTTTTAATAGGAGGAATTGAACGGTGAGTTTGTAGTGCACTGTGAATCATTTTATGCTCAGCATCTTACATATGAAACTGTCTCTGCTTTAATGACTTTGTAAGAGGTCTTTCTTAGATGTGGAAATTAAATCTCACATCTGAAATGCTTTTATTCAAGTAGCTCTTTTTATATGGATTGAAACAAACTAGTAGAAACAAGTGTATATGTCGTTTGAAACGTGTTCAAGATAAACTCCCAGTTGACACCAAGTTGTAAATTTGTCAGATGAAAACCCTCAGCTGGCAAACATGATGTATTTATCCTGTTTGCATAAATAAATTTTTTGTCAGGTATCTCACTGATAAAGATGTTCAACCAATGAAAAAGGTAAAACAGGTGATATTTATTATAGGATACAATTTTCAGAGTAGTCATACAGGTTTTCAGCATGAGGAGATTTCCTTCCCCTGCCCCATAACACAGACAATGGAACGCATATAGATTTTTTCATTTCCAAGGATTGTGGACCAGGTCTAAGACTCACTCCAACCTGCGGTTGACCATACTAGTAAAATTTGCATCTGTCTGCCTAGCAAGCTGTTACTCAGCTGTGGCGTTGTCCAGATTTTTCTCATATATTATGTATTCCTGTAGGTGTATGGTATATGGAAATTTTGAAATTCCATTATATCCTAAGCCATATACGTATGACTGTGTACTCAAAAGATTTTTGTTATGTGATTGCATGTGGGTCAGGACTTACTGTACCTAAAACCAGGTTGCCTAAGGTTTTCTAGCTCAGTAAGGTTTGATCAATTTTGTTATTTCGTCTTTCAGAAGCAACTGAAATAAATAAATAGAGATGTTGATTAGATTGGCATTTATTGTGATTCTTTTTGAATTGCAGCAGGATTTGAGCATCTGAATGCCTTAGACTAATATGACAAGTACAGCCAAAATGTGGGAGATAATTTCTGTATTTCTGCATAAAATCGGTTGTTAAAGATGCGTGTTAGTGGTATTTTTCACTTCATAGTTCTCTCCTAATTTGAAAACTTATCAGTAGTTTGCAGTACCTTTTGCTTGATGAGATCCTAATACTCTTAGAATTCAATAGTTATTAAGACAAAAATTAATATTCAGCAGAATTATCAGAGAGAATAAATATCTGAGTTACTGAAACAATATCTTTCCTATGAGACGTCACATATTATAGTGTCATTTAAATTGTGTTCACTATGCCCAGTTTAATTTGCCTACTCTGCTAAACGTGTCAGAATTTGTCATTACTAATTTTAACAGTTTGATACTTTCCTCCTGTTGCAGAACGCGAATGGGATTTACACTGGCTTCATCAAAGTTCAGATGGAACTATGCAGACCGATCACTGTGGAGTCTTCCCAGAGCCAGGGAAAGTGTGCTCACAGCAGCAATAATGAAACTGCTTTTTGCTTGCCGGATGGCTGCATCAATACTCTTCACATCAGCAGCAACAATACTGTTCGTGAAGTTATTGAGGCTTTGCTCAAAAAGTTTTTCGTGGCTGACAACCCTGCGAAGTTTGCACTTTATAAGCGCTGTCACAAGGAAGACCAAGGTATAAGTTAGGCTTGTGGTATTTTGGTAGTGAAGGGGTTTGGGGAGGGGGTTTTGCTGTAGGAATACTTGAAGTAAGCGGGGTGGAAGAACTCAGGTAAATGGAGGTGACAATCTTGCTCTCTCTCATCTTTTTTTCTTATGAGAAGTAGCATGTGTAAGAAAGTGAATGATTTGGGGGTATTTCAGGATAATTCACAAAAGACGTGGTAACCCACTAAACCATCTATGCAGATCTCCTGTGCCTTGCAGTCTGTTACATTGTATTTAATATGCCTCCTTATCAGGCTCTAAATTTCAGCCAGCCTGATATACTGCAGATTTTTGAGATTAAATTACAGTACAGATTTTTAAAAAGAGAAACTTTGGTGTCTGTGATACCAGTAGTCCCTGCATTGGCAGACAGCTCTTGAGGTGACGAGCATTGTGGGCACGTGCATTGTGTTCATGTGCGTTAACTCGTGCACGTGGCTCTCCCAGTGCACTGACTGCTGTTAGAAGTTTGTTGCATATTGTGTTTGGAAATAGATGCAAAAGGTATTTTTAGTGAGAAGTGCGTTTTGCCAGCTTTGTGTTCTTGCACTTAGAATCCGCCTTCTTCCGTGGACATTGAGAGCAGTTTCAGGAGTTCAGATGTTTCTGGCTGTCAGTCATACCAACCGTGTCAGGCAGGCGGAGTTGTGTTTAGACTTTGTGTATGAGATTTTAAGTGGAAAAGGTATCAGAATGGTGATACCACAGCTCTGATGTCTTAAATGCTTAGTTATAGCAGCAGATCTGTGTTGTATTTTTTTTTCTTGTGTTTTTTTCCCTTGCATGTGATCAGATCCTGTGCTGTGTTGATTAGAGGCCATTTTGTTTCTGTGTGAGTGTAGTGTTGCACTGTTACCATCAGTCGTCTGCTCAGCTTCTCCCTGAAACTCTTTTGCTCAAAACCAGTACATAGACTAATATGTAGACAGTATGTAGAATGTGTGAATTTTGTGGCTACACATGCAATCTCTGAATTTTCTAACATCAGCTAGCATTAATCATTCAAAATGTTTGAAACATCATTAGTAAAGATGATAATTACTGTGATTTTTTTTCTCCTGCAGTTTATACATGCAAGCTGTCAGACCGAGAACATCCCCTCTACCTGCGTTTGGTGGCAGGCCCCAGAACAGAAATGCTCAGTTTTGTTCTACGTGAGCATGAAACTGGAGAAGTCATGGTACGTTACGCTCATGCTGGTTTTGTGTGTTTGTTTAACTTCGTGCATGAACGGGCTCCTGTTTGATCCATGCTGACAAGATGATCCATTTTTTGGAAGCAGATTTTTTTTTTTCATGTTATATTTACTTTGTGCCTTTTGTAAACATTTCATTTGTGGTTAGACTGACCTATTGTTACTTGCAGAACAAAAAACAGTGTAAAAGAGTAAAATGTTTTCAGATCCCTAAGATTTGTTTCAGTTTGAAATTGTTTTGAGTGTCTGAGGTTTTGTTTAAAAATACGGTGTATATAAATTATATGTGTATTTTCTGTTCATCTCATCCATCCTTTTCTCTTTTTCGCTTTCCAGTGGGAAGCTTTTAGTATTCCTGAACTGCAAAACTTCTTGCGTATACTGGACAAAGAGGAAAACGAGCAACTGCAAATCTTAAAGAAGCGTTATGCAGCTTACAGAGACAAACTTGAAGAAGCCCTTGGTGGGGTGTGGACACCTGGTTAAAAGGGGGCCAAAGGACACTCAGGAAAAATGCACGCTACCATAGTCAGTATAGCATGCCAAACCCAACGTACAAAGAGCAGCAGAGAGTAGTTTTCTTTATTCGGAAGACTGTTTTGTGATGCCAGGGTACCTGAATTTTGCTATAGACTTAGTTCCATAAGCCAGGTCACTTAGCATCTTGCACCGACAAGTAAGGGATTCTGCATGTTTGTACATCAGTTTGCAACCCTCTGTGTGCCGAGAGAGTTTTCCAAGTTATCTTGGTGCAAGCTGTGAAACTGTAATCAATTTTCTAGGACGCTATGAAATGAGATTTTTTTTTTCTTCTTTGCTTTAATGGTAGCTTTACAAGTAAGGATGTGCAAATTGATGGGTTAAAAAAATGAAAAACCATCTGGACGAGAATTAGGTGGAGCACTATGTTTGAGATGAAATTGATTTGCACTACCTTTCTGTTTTCAAATAGTTACTGTATAATTTGTGAGAGAACTGTTATAGATGGAAGGCAGAGATCTTCTGGTTGTTTGCGTGAAATTTGTGGAGGGCTTTAAAGTGGTCTTTCTGGAGAAGGTAAAGAGAAAGTTGAAAAGAAGGTAAGAGTTGAAGGAGGAGAACTCTAACAGCTGACAGAGGAGGACTGGTTTTAAATGGAAATAAGTATTTATACAGAGGAAAGTTAAAATACTAATTCTACAAGAATAAAGGTTTTGGATGTTATAGTATTGTGAGTAAGTTTTATGTTGTTTTTTTTTTAACTGCATAAATCCACACTGGAAAAGAAATAAAGATAATAGAAAGAAAGGGAAGGAATGAGAGGCAAAAGCCAGAGAAGAATGAAAATGGAGCTGCACATACAAGTCATTACTGGAGAAGCTGATTCCATAGATGTGTAATGGGGGTTGAGAAGTGCAGCAAAACTAAAAGGTGGCTGCTTACTTGAATTCTGAGAAGTGAACTGTGTCTCAGAAAACTCTGTGAGAAGTGCCCATCTAGCGAGTGTTTAGACATAAGCTATAACTACAGATGTATTTGGTCTTTATTGTAAGTCAGATCTTTCCTCTGGCTCAGCAATCCATTTTTAGCTGGATATTTTTGAATTACCATATCTGAAAGACAAAAATAGCTTCCTCTGCTTCTTTGTTTGTTACAGGCTCAGTCAGGCAAAGAAAGTAGGATTTCTTATTCATATTTCCAGCTTAGCAGAAAATTAACATTTATTGGCTGTGTTGGTGACTGAGCTTAGTAACTCTTGCTTTTAGTAATTCAGAGGTTTTTTTCCTCACGGTTTTTAAATTCTTAATTGAAAAACTTGTTACCAAATTCTGCAGACTGCTGATTTACTTGATTTAAAAGTAGGAAAAATGTAGCAACAAAACTTTTTACTTTACTGTAAATATAATTGTTGTTGTTCTTTCAGAGTTATTTATCTAAAAAAGCATGTTCAAAAGAAACCAAAGAAGCGGGTGTGCAATAGAAGCATGAGGCAGATCTGAGTAACTGATACATGGTCATGCCAGAGAGGAAATGAGTTGTATATTGGCGGGGGGGAATATTGGGGGGGGTAGGGATTAGACGTGGAGGAGTGCTAACGATCTAGGAGCAGTAGAAGCTGGTGGGGTTTTTTCCCCCCTCCGCTCTTAGAGTGTTCGTTTTAAATTCCGAAGGAATTGTTAAAACTCTGGTGACATCTAATGGATACTGTCTGAAACTCCAAGATGCTTCTGTTCTTCCCCTTAATTTGATAAAATTGTGCCTTTGTTTCCTTTCCTTAGTAGGACTTTTCTAAAAGTTTTTTTGATAAAAACAATTTGCAGACTTAACCAGACAATCATAATGTTTTCAAGTGTTAAAAGAAATTAAGAGTAGGACTAACTATAAAGTATATATAAGGCATTATCTTGTTTGTTTTTTAATTTCACATGTAACATTGTAGTGCATGTGTGAGTTAGTAACGTTATCCTCAAGTGAGACACTTTATAATGGTTCAGGGAATGCTTTTATGTTTTGTTACAGTTTACTTTTCTATGAACACAGCAGCATGTCGGTGGGTATTCTGTTAACATCTACTTAATTTATCTATCTGCCCATAACTATGTAACCATTACATAATCGCTGTCAATAATGAACCATTTGTTGCTGGGATTTAAATACTGTTTGAGTCTAAAAGCGGAGTCTAAAAATATGTGAATTTTGTTTTTTACTTGAACTATCAGTCTTTTAAGTAGGCGCATCTGCATTTACTTTAGCCAAAAACCTCAATCGGTGTTGTATGCACTATGAGTCTTGATTTGGGGTGAAGGGGGTGGGGGTGGGGGACCAAAACACTTATTTTTTAATTTTTTTAAAAAAAATGTTTTTGCTTTGTCGTTTTTTTTTTTTTTTTTTATTTTAGCATCAAATTGAACTGTCAAAGCTTTTGTTGCAAAACTGTTTTCATTTTGTTATGTGATGGTACCAGAATGATTACATGATATGGACAAGGGGGTAGGGGGAATGCAGGGAAACATAAAAATGTATGTCTTTAAAAACAAACATTTAAACTATTTATAATTTTGACAAGCTTAGTTTTATTTTTGTAGGGAAGTTTTTATTCCCCTTAACGTTATTACTGAAATGGCTAAAAATTGATGGTTCCATTATTAAAGTTGAAGTTGGCAATACTTAGCTATGCGATGTCTGTTTGTTTGGTTTTTTTTTCCCCGAGTTTCAATTTTTACCCGAAACTCGCGTTGCGATCGCTTTGATGGCGAATGCGGCTTCCTGGTAGCAAAGAACGATGCAGAAAAAAACTTCAATCGATTTTTCTTAAATACAACCCACAAGAAACCCACGTAGACACTCTGAAATTTACACAGATGCCTTGAAATTTGCCCTTTTCTTGCCCGCGTTTACCTGACGCTGGGCTTCCCCCGGAGAGGCGGAGGGCGAGAGGTCTTCCCCCGGGGGGGCGGCGGTGGGGGAAGGGGAGAGAGCCGGGGGAAGCGGGCCCGCCATGTTTTTACCTGACGAAGACGGCGGGCGGGGCCGGAGCGGGGCTTTTCTCTGTTACAGAGGCGACTCCGCCATGGAAAGAGCGGAGCAGCGGGAGCTGGCTCGCCGTAGTGGGGTGGGAAAGCCCACGGGCGAGTGGTTTCTTATAAAAAAAAATCTTTTGGAGAAACACGAGGCGAATACAGTGAGGAAGTGCCCTGGGCTGGAGGCGATACCCGGGTCGTTTCTCCTGTAGAAGTGCCTTTTGCCCCTTTTTGTCTCATGTCCCTTAAAGGCGTGTTTAGCGGTTTTCTGCAGAAACGTGTGTGTTGAATTTTCTGGTTATTTTGCGTGTTTTTTTTAAACGGTGTAACGCTCCTTAATTGAATTCAGTAGAGCAGAGCTGCTTTGCTGTTCTCTTGTCTCTCTGTTGCTCTTCACTGAGCGTTGCAGTGGGGGAGATGATAATGGTTTGACCGGTTCCATGAAGGTGGATTCACGTGAGACCCCATGGCTTTACATTTGCCAAACTTCCCTGCCAGGTCTAAAACCCAGCTAAAAATCCATATGGAAGGGGTTAAGTGCAACAACCACATAATGACTCTATGCACTTGATAAAACCTGTTAATAGCGAATACTCCAATACTCAGCTGGGGTAAGGTTGGTAAGAGGCCTTAAAGATACCGGGGTCAGCAACGCTGCTCACCACACAGGTAACTGTGCTTGTGCCTCTGCCTACAGCAGTTATGTACTACTAGAAATATAACTCTGCAAGAGCAACCTTGTGGTTTGGGGCTGGATCACCCGTCCGGAGACTGGAGGAGCTCCAGTGCAGGAGCAGAGCAGCGTGGCTGTACTGCCCCTGGAGCAGCTGGGCTGCTCCTCTCCATGGCAGGGGCTGCCAGGTTGTGGCAGTCTGCTTTGTCCTCTTTCAATCTTGATTTTTAGTACCGAAATTTTTTAACTTTTGAAAAAATTTATCTCTTCTTAGTCCCCTTCTGCCCCTGGACCTATATGTGTATCAGTATACAATTGTTTTCTTTTCCTCCCAGGTTCCCAGCATGGGGGTTTCCAGCTGCAGTCCTTGCTACCTTTGCTAGCATTTACTTTTTACCATCTCCCATTGATCCAGAACCATTCATGTATGTTCCCCTGCTTAATTTCGAAGTTCAATAGCATACTTGTATTTGTTGGGAAATACCTGTGCTTTCAAAGGTTTTCCTATACTTACCATTCTGCAGGAGCAAACGAAGCATGCTATTTAAGTTCACATGCAAGAGAAACCGTGTTTCTGGAAAATAAAAACTTTTTTAAACAAGTGAGTGTAAAGCAAAACAATGTGGACCAGTGCAGTATTCATACATACATGTAGACAGATTGTTAGCAGGTCTCAGACTACTGATAGGGAATAAAACTCAGGATGATGGCAATTTTGTGTTTGTATTGACTTCAGGAAAATAAAGATCTTCTAAATTCCCTGTAGTCTGTTTAGCCTGGGCATGCAAGCTCCGCAGAACTGTTAATTTAGTGTGAAGTAATAGTTTAACATACAGTCATAGTTTTAACAAATTATTTTAAAAAAGAGAATGCCTTGTTGCTAGTATCTGTGGAAGAAAATCATATTGTTTTCAAATAATTTTGTAGTCCTATGTTGTCTTATTTCTTTTATAATTTATTTTGTGCAGTTTTGAAAAGCCACCTCCAGCCTTAGTTGGATCCTTGCAAGTGAATAAAAAGCTTCAGAGTGGACAAAGAATCTTCACAGGACAATTGAAAGGTCCCGAGTCTTTTACTGTCGATGATGAAGGCAAATAGATAACTTCCAAATGGGTAAAGTCATGCATCTGCTACAGATTATGTGTCTGCTTGGTCAAATTATTAAAAGAGGAGGAAAAAAAAAAAAGTTTAAATCCAAAGAAAAAATAGGAATGTTTGCTAAATGATTGCTCCAAAAATATTAAGATAACTGTATGTTCTTCCATATTTTCACATTCGTAAATATTTTGCTGGAAGTATTCCAGAACATTTTGTCATCTGCTGCTTCCAAGGACACAGCAAATGTCTTGCTGCTGTATTAAAAAAACACAGACCCACAAATTGGTGATATATAGCAGTTGTATTAAAATATAATATTAAAAAGATTAAAAATGGCATATTCTTTAGAAGTAGCATGCAAAAACAGCTAAAGATTTCTGTGGGAATTCTGCCAAATGTGAGTCTAAGCTTGGGCTTTTGACATAGAGCGAGTGATATGCTTGCCTTGGTTTTGTTTCACGTCTCCAGAAGGAGTGCTAATTTGCTGCTCGAGCTCAGTTGCTGAGTTCAACATGCTCTTATTTCAAAACCTGTTATTGAATGCAGAGCCAAGGAGGGAGGCAAATGAAGATGCTTCAAAACTTGCATAGTTACCAAAACCATATTTTTACAGCAGCTTGGAATATGAAAGAACTTTTCACTGCACTATAGAACCTGCTGTTACCTACCCACATGATTCATCTTGGTTGTCTGGCAGCTGTGAGGTGGCAAAATGGTAGGTGCAGGAACCTCACAGACAAGGGGAAGCGGAGAGCTGAAGTAGTAACGTAGTACATTTTGTATCTTTCCAACAGCTCTTCTTACCCAGCGTGTGACCAAAGTAGGGACTGCAATGAAAGTTTAAGCAAAATAGAGGAGAAACACTGTGATCTTCTGTTTAGGACACAGGCTGAGTGCTGTGGACTTGAAGCTTACCTGTTCTGGAGGAATTATTTTCCTCCTGATGTGTAAGTGGATAGAATAGATCCCTGCAATAGCCGGTACAGAGAAGTAAGCAGCTCCCAGTGCAGAGCAGTTTGAACCAGGTAGTTCAGACACGCTCCCTTACTGCTGGTGCTAGTTCTATGGTGTTTTGAAGGAAATACTGAATAGCCCAGGACATGTTTGTTAAAAGATACTGTCTTGAGTTGTGTGCTACAGAGGTGAGAACTAATCAGCTGGAACGTTCTTGTTTGCCCTTATGCAAGCTGAAATTAGAAACATTTTCTGTCGTAGCAGCATAGGCCTGAAAGAGACCTAGCTCAACACCTTGCGCTGTGGCAGCCATTCCTAGCAAATGTCTTCTCAAAGCTGTTTCCTGCCTGCTTTCCTCAAAGCTGCGATTTTAAATTGTCTTTTTATTGCACTTTCTGTTCTCTACCTCTTCCTCTCCTACTTTCAGAAAGGGTAGTGTTCATGACTGGAGTTTTGCAGAGTATATTTTAAATACAAGGACTAATCCTGCAAATGTACCATGTTGCCAAGTCTAAGCTATTTCATGATGCTGTATAAAACACTGGTTTGGTTTTATTTTTCTTGAGTGTGTTAATTCTTCCATGGATCTTCCCTGAATTTAAGGATGTTTCAGGAGACTGGAAAAGTCAGTTGAAATCATACAATATGACCAAGGTTGTAGTAAGTGTTGTGGGACTGTAGCCTGACTTAGGTAAATGCTGTTTTCCATATGAATAAGACAGGATATTATGGGTAATGAGTAGTTCTGTTTTGTCTTCACTCTACTACAAATACCCATGAGAGAAGTCCAGTGCAAAGCCCACTTGCAGTAGCTATATAAATCCAAATATAGCATCATAGCCTAGTGCACAGCATGATAGAAAATAGCACTACAAGTCTAGGATTTCTCTCTTTAAATACGGAATCTGGTATGTGATCAGAAATTTCAGCTGTTTCCAACATGCCTTGGGAGGTGTTAGAATGCCAGCATGTTTCATGACAGCAAAGTTCAGCCTCTGTTTTTTCCCAGGCAAAGTTGTACTGAACAGTGGCTCTGAAGTTGGACACCTTTGGACGAACAGGTGCTTTCTGTCCTAGACAATTCTTTTAATCTAGATCTGACAGATGATACTTTGAGAATCTGTCCTATTTGCTCTTAACATTTTTCCATAGATGTGAGTGAGCAGATGCTAGACATTTTTATGTATCTTTATCTGCTCTGGTGTAAGCGCTCATTAGACAAAGTCAGAATCTGTGGGCTTTTAGTAATAGTGGCACAGAAAGGTAGCATAACTTCTTTGGAGTATCTTTTAACTCCCGTTGCCAAGTGACAGTGCACATTTTTTAATGTAGACAAGGCTAGGGTGAAAACACAGGTCACGGGTAAAGAAATTAATGTCTACTTTAGTGCAATCTATGTAGATAAAAGACAAATCAGAAGAATGTTTCCAGACAATTAACAGACTTTACACTGAAAGCGTATCTTGTTGAACAGTAAGTCTAGGATTGCTCATGTGCATTGTATGATTTCAGAGCCTGGACTAGTCAAAAGGTAGGAGGACGCTGTTTTTCAAAGGTGGGGCTTAATCACTGCTAGCATTTTTCCTTTGATACTCTACACAGAAATTTTTGAAGTTACAATACAACATCAGAAGATTTGAGGGCTTTCTGTGAGGTTTTTGCCTTGTTAATTTAAACATTTTAAAAGCAGAGGAGAAAGCAACTGCTAAGCGGGTATCCAATAAAAAAAGTGCATAGTCCTTTAATGCAGACTTACATGTTTTCGGTATTATTCTTTTGGTTCTTATTCTTTTGGTTCAAAACCAAAGCAAAACATCACAGTTAAAAAAAACAAAAACCAACGGCCACACTTCTTTTTTTTGCTTACGATTGTAATGTCCTAGGAGAAGGGTTACTTTCCTGTTTTGGATCAGTCATTGTAATGTTTTCATCTACTGAACATTTTTGCTAGCTGATAATGTGGCAGAACCCTCAGGACGAAAATGTAGATCGTGTGAGCTCTGGTCATGCTTCCACTGATTTTTATTGATGGTATGAGAATATCCCAATGAATCTGTCCTTGATGCCATTGTTTGCTGCTAACCCAGAGGAGTCTTAAGATAGCTTTTAAAGTATGATGTTTATTTAAAATAAACATATGAACAATTAATAATTTTTCAAATCTCCAATTTATTATTGCTCTTTCTGCTTTGTAAAACAGATTTAAAGCAAGCTGTATGGTTCGCTGTCTGTTTCATTGCTTTGTGTGTGCATAGAATATATGAATTAGGAGCAAGAAGGAAACGCTCACAATAGTGAAGAATGTCTTTCTTTTATAGTAAGTTTTACTTGCCTTTGTACCTTTTAAAGCAGTCTTCTAATATTCTTATATTAAGGTAATATCTACACTGGTACTGTGGATGGGAAACTGTGGATGATCAGTGGTGAGCAGCTGCATTTCATTACTCAAATGGGGCAGGATATGCCTGAATGTGGTGAGTGACGGTTTTCACGTGAAAATCACAACAAACTTGTTCATATAAATGTCACTGAATGAGAAATTGAAGTGCTATTTTAGCTACGGTTAACTTTTTCTGATTCTTTTATGCAAATTTGTAAGAGAAGCCTACTGCTATCATGTAGGTTTTCCTAATGTAGGCAACATTAAAGCATAATGGCACGCTTCTCTAGCCCTTGAGACTGACTTGCCATTTAAATAAAGAACAACATTTTACAGAAGTCCTATAAAAACTTTTTGAGGATGGTCTAAACACATGATTTATCCAATTATTTTCCTGCCTCAAGATCAAAATGTATTTTAGAAACAGTTCAAAGCTTACAAATCGGAGACTCAGAATAGCATGTCCTGGTACTGGACTGCCAAGGTTGCATTTTCTTTCCTTACTTGTAAATGAGGAAGACAAGCACTGAAATGTTTATGGTTTTACCCTGTTGCTTTTTGATGAATCAAGGAGGCCTGAAAGGCTGTTAAAATAGCTGACTGGCTGTAGCCTGGTCTCATAAGCGTGTGACAGCTACGTAGGTGCTTTCCCTGGCCCCAGAGTCCCTGTGCTATGGGCTGGTCTCCACTGAATTTGAAAGAATTCTCAAAGACTACTGAACTTTTCTGAGTCTTATGTAAATAATTTACTGTGTGGTAGTTAAGAAACCAAGAGTGACACCAAAATGATGGATCCATTCATAGTGAGACCAAAACTCAGCTGTTAACTTTTTAGCAGCTGCCAGTCAGCTTGTGTTTCTGATGTGTTACAGCTCTCGTGAGCTGTAATGGGTGTTGTCCCTTGCTTACTGGAGTACTGGGGGAAAATAGGTATCTAGGAGTAGAGGGTACTAGGTCACAGAACTGTAGGGTGTCAAGCTTTACTAATTTCACTGCTCTCAGGGAAATTACTCACTATAAAAGTACTAAACATGGTAGATCTGTTTTTTGTAGTTTTGCCGGAGAATTACTTACAGGACTCTCATGTGACCTTTGGAACTTCGGCCGGTCAACTGAAGAGCAGCAGTGAGTTAAATCTTTCCTAAAAGCCTAAAGTTTTCTCCCATCTTTTTTTCTTGGGTATATAAAACAAACAGCAGCTAATCCATTTTGGTTTACTGATTTAGTAATCCTACCAGTTTTTCAGTCATCTTTAAAGCTGTCTAGGAAAATAGAGTACAGCTAAATTTCTTTGAAGGCTGGGAGTAAATTTTTTCTTATGTAATAAGGACCAGAGATGACTAGACTGACGTTACACTGTCACTTCCTTTGCAAGTTACTTTTAGAGACAGTTTAAGGAAGCTTTAAGGACATGGTTTACTCAAGAATGATAGTTTAGTGCTTTTCAGCCTTTGCATTTTGGGATCTTCATTTTGTCAACATCCCGATTTCATGCATCCTCCTATTTGTACCTCAGGAACTCCAGACTATGAACCAGTATGTGGCCGGCCCCATGGAGTCCGAATGGATCAGGATGGTAACTTGATTGTGGTCGATTCTTATTTAGGCCTGCACAAAGTCAATCCAAGGACAGGAGAGAAAACTCTCCTGCTATCGAGTGAAAATGGTGATGCTACATTTAGTAGGGAAGTAGATTGGTCTTGGGTTTGGTCCTCATGCTTATGGATAAATTGGAAGATTAAGGTCCTTTGACCAGTTGAGATCAGTACTACTGAGTGTGGGGACTGGGACTGACTGAAAGCCCATTGGCTTTGTATTTTTAAGATTTGTTTAAAAAATAGAAGAAAATAAAAGCAATTGTATTTGTCAGAGGCTTTTGGTTTGGTATGTGTTATGTAGAGCTGCAGCCTGAACATAGTTCCCTGCAAATGAAAGTAATTTGGAGCTTGGAATTTATCTTGGGACAAATATGGAATTGCAATGTCTGAAATCTTTCGCTTGTGTGGATCTGAATAATTTTGAACACTTGGTGGTTTTGTACTTATTTTAATCAGTAGTCATTTTTATTAACCAGGTGTGGATGGGCTGCCTTTCAAATTCCTAAATGGATTAGAAATATCGAAGAAAAATTTTATTTATTTTACGGATTCAAGCAGCAAGTGGGAAAGACAACATCACAGATACGAGGTGAGGTAATCTTTGTAGGTGTTTCTTCAGGCAGCTTAAGTGTTAAATTTTGTGCTGGCAGCACTGTACCAGGCTGCAGAAGAGACAAGCTTTTTTCGATTGTGCTTGTGTGATTTAGCCAAGCATGCTATGAACGCAGCATGTTTGAGCCCTGAGGCAGAGGATGGGCTGTGCTATTCCATAGCTGCCTTTCCGGGAAAAAAACTTCCAAGTGTGACTACCCAAAGAAATTGTCAAGTGATACATTACAGTGTGGATTTTTACAGCATGTTAGTTTCTCCCTGGTATCTGTCTACAAGCATGCTCTTGTACTGCAATAAATGCAAGGTAGCAAATTGCTGGTGTACTTGAAGGTATTTTTTCTGTGTAGTCATAGCCTTTGAGTAAAACTTTATCTAGAACAAACTGTTTTTAAAGGCGCAAGTCAGTGAGGTCACAGACATAAAATTTACACTGAGTCTCGTCTTTACTACTAGAACTGTGGATAAAATTAAGCAAGGAGAAAAATCACATGGAGTGAAATATATTTAAGGAGTGGGAATTGAGACCCAAGTTATTAAAGGAAAAAAAAAGTTGAAATCTCTTCTGTGTCGCCTGGTGTCTTAAAGCTATCAGAATTGTTGTTTGGTAGTACATCGTCTTTGCTGTTTAGTATTTCAGACTTGACAAGGTGTTGCCAGTACAAATGGCAAACATAAAGGCAGTTTCCTCTTCACAGGGCTTATGTGTATATAATTCAAAGCTGCCCTGCAGATTTTTAGCAGAAGAAACTTATTAAAATTATTTCATACCAGAAGTAAAATGTCGGCTGTTTACTTGCTTTAGCAAAACACTCGTGCATGCTTTCCGGTTTGATTTGAAGAAGGTGTAATTGTTCACAGAAGCCTGAGAGGCCTCGGTATTTTGCTAAAGCAGGAACTGCAGAATAACATATTTTGAACTCTTGGCGTTATAACCCCCACGTTCCTCTGTTTTTGCAAGAATGCTGTGATCAGCCTGGGAAATGACATGAACAAAATCCTTTGCTCCTTTAGTGATGCGAGCTTATTGTTTTTTATAAAGATGTCATCTGCCGTTCTGTAAAGTCTGCTTTTATCTAATTCATGTTAATACAACTTCTGAATATTTTCTGTTCTAATTGAAACCAGGTATTTTGATAGCCTAGTTTTTCATTAGATGTATTGATTAAGGTAATCGAAACAAACCATCCTGGTCGCCTCTTGGCCTATGACCCTGTTACAAGAACAGGAAGAACGGTGCTCAGTGGCTTGTACATGGCAAATGGGATTGCACTGTCTCCCTGTGAAGATTACCTACTGATAGCAGAAACCAGCATATGTAGAATCACACGGTATGTTAAACATTATTCCCTTCCTAGATATAAAATATTACATGTTGGTTTACATTACATGTTTTTAGTCAATTTGTAGACATGATTTTCACGTTCTTTTCTGTTTTTCCTTACTTCTCTGAAAATGTAAACTGAAGATGTGCAGTTAACAGGGTTGCTATTGGAAACTTAGTCTAAATTACTTTTTTTTCTGTTGCAAGAGTCACAGGTTTTAGTTAATTCCAGGTAGAGATTAACAGATGCTCTTCCTACTGCTGCATGTTTTTTATACTGATTTACTGATGTGTTGGGTCCTAATCCCCTCAGACTCAATTATTACAATTATCCTGATGACTCCATTATTACAGTTACCACAGACCTCAGAGGACAAGTGTCTGATTAGCATAACACCCCATTTTTCCCATTTTAAAGGGAGTCAGTGTTTTAACAGTCTTCTGTTTCATGGAAGTTCTAAAGCCAAACTTAATATTAGTTTCCATTTAACAGGCACATTTTCTATGAAGAGGTTCTTTTTAATAGAACGGGGGGAGGGTGGTGTCAGGGTGCTGTTTATGTTACATGTATAAGATGAGGTTTTTGACCAATCATCATTACGCAAGTTTAGCCCCTCTCTGCATTTACTACTTCCTGCAGAGTCCTTTTCTGTATTTTGAAAAATTCCTTGCATAAATCAAAATGATGGATCTTCCATGCTGTTAAGCTTGCAGCAGTTGCTATAACTCATATAGAAATTCCCTTTTTGCAGCTATTGGGTGAGTGGAGCTAATGCAGGAAAAAAAAAGTTTTTGTGGACAACCTGCCTGGGTATCCGGACAACATCAGATTATCAAACACAGGCTTATACAGAGTTGGAATATCTACTACTCGCTTTCCTAGTTTCTTTTCTCCTTTTCTGGATGCTCTACGACCATATCCACTCCTGAAGAGATTTATTGCAAAGGTAACTTTGACACTGTGCAGTATTAACTACTGGTGTCACAAAAATGGTAACTTTTTAAGTATGAAAGAACTTGTCATTCTTCATTAGGGAACACAAGAGACTGCTTCATCTTTACCAGCCAGCATACAAACACATACTAACTTTGATTTCTCTGGAACATTTGAGGATTCAGGGTTTTTTTTTTTTACATATTAAAACACAGCAGTTTTACTATTGTGGTAACATCAAGAACCCATTTATAAAATAGAAAAATCAGTATTGACAAAAGTAGTCCAAAAACTGCAAGTTCTCAGCCCGCTGTTCATAGCAACATGATATTGTCAAGGCAGGTGAAGAACCATTTGCAGAAAATATGAGGATTTTGGTGTAGGAATCAAGCTCTGCAAAGTCATTCTTGCCAAGCAAGAGTCATGGAGCTGGTTATGATTAATCATGCTACTGTTTCTAGGAACCATGCTGCCTTTTCCCTAGAACTTGCACAGGTAAAACACAGAAGTGGGTGATTCAGTTGTGGTCCATCAAGTCTTTCCTATTCCTGCTTTTAGAAAATGGGTGGCTTTTCGCAGCTGGAATCAGTTCAAACAACTTCCACACCTACTTGAGCAAGCAGGCACTGGCTGTACTTTAAGATTAGTGAGCAATTACTGGACTGCCAGGTCTAGACGCAGTCCAGTGGATATTATCAAAAGATGAAGTGACAGCTGAATCTGACTAGAGCAACAGCTGGAAAGCAATATATTAGCATTGCCATTACTTTCTAGTCATGGAATTCCTCCCCCCTGAAATAATTGTTAACACTGTGTATTTCTTTTTCTAAAACAGGTGACTCCTTTGTCATTCTACAGCATTTTTCTTCACAAACACAGATTATTCTTAGAAATTAATGACACAGGAAACATTGTGGCAAGCTTCCATGACCCTGATGGTAGCATCACTTGGGCTGTCAGCGATGTCTTTGAACATGATGGGAAGGTGTATCTAGGTAATACAGAGCTGCCTTTTCTTGTGGTGCTACAGTAAACTTTACAGTTCTCATAAGCTGGATCATCAAAAGCGAGGTAGCAGCATTGTTTCAAGCAGCTGTAAAATATTCTTCTCTACTTAATGGAAGACTGGTACACCACTGAAGGAGAAATGAAACTGATACCACATGATTAAACACAAATGAACACACAATACAGAAATACTTGTTTTAGAAGCTTGTGAAGCCTCAGACTTAAATAGGTTACAGGTACCAAATCACCTTGCTCTACAGTTCAGAAAATAGTTATATGTATATTTTTAAACAGTTGCACAGAATCATGCAAAGAATTCAACTCTGTAACAGGGATTGTGGTAAGTAGCACATACCTTCCTGTTGCTTACAGTTCCCATTTTGAAAAAAGCCTTATGTAGGATTTTATTCTTCCCCTTTCCCAGAGGCAAAACATACCTGTTTTAATTATGAACAGCAGTTTCGCCATTGTTTCTTTTGTTAAAGTTTTCCGTCTATTCAGCTACATCAGTTTCCAAGGAAATATAAGCAAGTACCGCTTGCATTTGAATTTGTTCTCTCACCTCAGTGTTTCTTCCTCATGCAAAGCAGTCATGTGTTGTCTTGCTAGACGCTGTACATGAGGTTCCCTGTGACCACAGAAGCATTCGCTAGTGGCCAGTGTTAGGAAGCAGGGCAGTAAGCAGAGAACAGGTTATAAACTAGGAATTCAGTCTTTTAAAGTGTGACACAGCTTGATCCTGTGGAACAGTTTAACTGAAGTTCAGTAACAGAAAGATAGGAAGCTTGATAGGCAGTTTATTTTTTCTTTCCCCAAAAGTGCAGCAGTGAACAGGGTCCTCTGGAAGGGCACTTTCTAAACAAATGTTCACAACAGAAGTCAAGCACGCTCACAACATGCTACAGCAAAGTATGCTCACATACAGAGAGTAATACAAATAAAATGAATTTTAATTGAATCATAATAAGTGACAGCTGTTTCATTATGATGAATATTGCATTTAGCTTGTAGAATCAGTCTTAAATTTAACTTGATTGAAAAGGTATTATACCTGCTTTAGGTGTGTGTTTGCATGTATGTGTCCCTGTTACACTTTATTCCTCAAAATGACAAAGCCCAGTTTACTGGGTAAGCATTCACTCACGCTGAACTGATGATACTGAATGTATTTTTTGGTTTAGGGTAATGTAATAAAGTTATTAACTATATTTCTCCCTGTATAGTATCTACTTTGCCAGGTCAGGTCATTAAAATTCACAGCTCTGCTTTTGATAATAATGATTTAAAAAAAAGAAAATAAATCACATTTTACCTAAACCCAACTCTGTACCAGTAAGGCCCTTTCATTTAAAACTCTGTACTGGTGAGGCCCTTTCATTTAACACAAATGCCTTTAGTAACAAGGTACAGATCCAGCCATAGTCAAATAGCATACGAGATGGAATATCCAGGAAGTGAAAATCACTTAGTTGGGAATTAGATCTAGATGGGAGTCGAAGTTCCTTCACAGCATTTTTTTAATCATCAAGGATAAGAATTAACACTGTTCATTCAAGGCTGTAAAAATACTCAGAATTAACTGCTTCATGGAAACAGACACCAGACAAGTGACAACAAACTCCTCTAAAAGCCATGGAAGGCAGGCAGCTGTTGGTTCCTGTTCTTCCTTCAACCACAGGCTTTTGCTGAACAGTTCTTAAGTCTTGATCAAAAGTGCAAATGAACTGCAATTCTGGTTAAGTAAGGACTGACTAATGTCACTCTGAATTTCAATTTAATACAACATTTACTACCTATGACAGATGTCAGGTATAGTGTGGTTCTCTGACAGTGAGCATGTAAGTTACTGAGCCTAGTTGCAGACAAAATGCTTTATAGGTGTGCACAGACAGCAAGAGTATTGATTTGGGTAAAATATCTGGTCACACATACTGCATAATCTATGTCAGTTCTGTCAACTTTCATGTTAGTTATTAGGCAAAAAGTAAATAATTCAAAAGAAAATTTCTTTGTTATGGCTTAAGATCACTTTAAGAAAAGATAGTGTTAGTTACAGATCTTAACATAACAAAGTCGGGTTTTTTTGTTTTAAAAAACAAAATAATTCACATTACTTGCACTGAAACTTAACTCAGCTAGAAACTTGACATATGACCTGGATTTGATAGAACTGTTGAGGGTTTCATGTGCAGCAATCAATGTATTTCACTCTAGCCTCCACACAGCTACCAAAATAGTTTAAGCAAAGAACAAGTCTAAGTTGCTAGAACTACCTGAGCAAAACACTACATAAATGAACTTTAGGTTTAGCTCAGTGTGCAAGAAAATGCTTGAGAGCGTGAAAACAACTTTGGTTTTGTTTTTAAAGACAAAACAGAGTCTGCAGGATATTGATGGACAATACTAAGGCTTGAGAAACAGAGAACAGGATAAAACTACAGTTCTAGTGGAGGAAAAAAATAGTCCTGAGTAATTGAAAGCAAGTTAGTTGTCTGAGTATCCAAAAACCTCTGCATTTATATAGATGCTCCAGCTGAAGAGTTACCTTTCAAACGATTTTTGTGTCTCCAAATATTTGGTCACTGTAGAGATTTGAAACCATGAGCTAGATTTGAGCCAAAACCCCTACAAAGTCTAACCTGTAGACCATCACAGAAGTTTGCACCTGTAAGCTACACGAAGGGTAACTTCTGTGCTTTGGAATTCCAAGCAAAGAAAGTTCAACTTCTCCTACTGTAGCATTGCTTGTATCCAGTTTGTAGATCTGTGCACTGGGGTATGCACCTTCACAGTTTTGAAAGAGTGATACTTTGTTGCCTACTTAATGATTACTTGGTAGAAGGTTTTAGGTGACAAGCTGAAACCATCATGCTCTCTATTTGGGTCAAAGATCTGAAATAACTAACTAAAAACTAAATAGTTGTGCCACAGTTTGTTTGACAAGGGAAAGATTATCTTGCCTGGTAACACAGCCGATTTGCCCACAAGCAACACAAACTTGTCTTGCAACAGATATGCAACTCAGTGTTTCTAGAAGGTGTTTTGCCAATGAATCTATACAGAAGTTACACGCCAGCTCAGGTCTGGGTGTTTTCAGGATTCAGAAAGACACTCAAGTCTGGGTGCAAGTAAAGGCTGCATTTCAGATAAGCCTAATCAGAAGGTTGAGAAGACAACATCACCCTTCCAAAGGGAAACCAAGTGATAGTACCGCAGTCAGACATCTGACGTCAGTCCTTTGGTGTGAAGGCCACTTACTGCAGATTCTGAGTAGTTATGTCTCAACCAAAAAGAAGCACTCTAGAAAGCACTTAAACTGCCTAAAATAGGCCCCTCAGCCTAACTTTTGGTAAGCAATGATTTATTTATTTATTTTAGCTAGTTTGCTCTCAAAATAATTTACCTTCAAGAATCTAATCAGCATAAGATGTTACGACAATTCGAGACATTTGGAGATTAGAGACAGATCAACTCTACTGTGGTGCCCTGGTTTGGTTTTTTTGATTTTTTTTAGTATTACTTCTGTTCATATATTAAAATAGATTTAAGCGTTAGCTCAAAACCCAGGCACACTTCTTTGAATACTTGTTAGTCTCAGCACTCTTGTTTAACTCACTGAGGCCTACATTAAACTCTAAGAATTTTTTCAGTAGTACATAGTAACCCATTCCAGCATTTCCAGCTAGAAGGAGGTTGAAATGACATTCTTGTTTCCAAGCTACCAAAGCTGACCTACAAAATTCATTGGTCTCATCTGAAGTGGTCTCATTGAAAGAGAATATTTAGCTAATGGGTTTTAATTTTCCACTAGACACTTGCTAGTCAGATCCTACAGTTTTGACTAATGCCTTCCTACGCTATTCTGGGCTAGTTTGCTATTGTCATTAACACCTTTGAGCTCGATACAGGAAACCTGCAATTAAACATAGCTTTTAAGAAAGTCTATAACACTGAATATGGGTGAGCATTACTGTGCAATAGCACATGCCTATCTAACCTGACTGAAATATGCATTTATTGATTTTTAGAACAAAATAAACTGTTCAGATTCATAGGCATAGGTTCACCTCTGTGCCTGTGATATGAAAAGGTACTTGAAAGACAAAGGTGGTAATCAACTATCTGAGCAAGACAGATTAGCTGTGTCTAACGATTCAGAGTTACAGTTCAGCTGTAAAATATACATATTGCACAAGGCAACCAGCTAAAGACAAGGGTTTTTCTTCCACACAGGGTTTGAATAGCCCATAGCAGTCTTCCAGCTGCGATCAACAAGAGTTACAGAGACAGACCTGCTGCAGTCACTGGAGAAACTGGTCAGTGGGAGCTGATTGCAAGAGGCTCTGAAGTGCCTTATAAGGACTGCACAGAAAACCTCCGAGCCCGGACACCGTGATTGCTGAACATCAGCCGTGGGTCAAACCTGTACCTGTAAAAAGAAACAAAGTCTGTGTGAGCTGCAGTTAGCCCACAGCGACCAACAGTTCTAGGAATAGCTTATTTCTAAAACAGCTCTGGTACAAAGGTACATGGATAGCTGCTTTCTTAACAGTACGCAGTAAGGACAGTCTCCCCACATACTACAATGGATGAATCGTAATGATACACAACTAAGGAGCTGATAGTCTCCAAAGAAAAAAAATACTAGCAACAACATACCAACAGCGTATTGGCATGTATAACATTAAGCATTCAGGAGATGCATTCTAACAGAAAGCTTTGTTGTGTCAAATTACAAACTTACACAGCACAACTGTAAGGACCTTTTAAATAGTCCTTGAAAAAGCTTCAGTCCAAATGATTACTGCTGAATTTTGCGGTAAGAAGTGCTATTTATTTGCAATAACTGACTAATACATACAGCTTAGGTCCTGCAGGAAACATTCTTTGGTAGCGGCATCTCCAGGAACAATCAGAGCAAGTATTTGGGAAATTCCTGCCTACAGAAACCTGCAGAGCTTTTGCAGGCAAACCTGAGGTCACTTGTCTCTGACTACTCAGCACAGCTGTAAGCTTCAGCTATTC